AGTTACTGCCCCCACAGCAGACAGAGTAGTAAATCAGTCAAGACAGCCTCCTCTGGGTCAGACTGCCTGGGTTGGACTCTCAGCTCTACCATTTACTGGGTACTCACTGTTTGGTGAGTTACTTCACCCTTCCATGTCTGTTGCCTTGTCTATAAAATGGGGAGTGAGAATGTATGGTCCTCAGATATCTGGTTCATGGTGGGCACACAATGAATGTCAACTATTACTATTGCTACTGCTTTAACCACGGAACTTAGAACTGAACCAGATCTCCCCACTGCTTCAGCCCCAAGTGGCCCAAATGCCTGAATCTGGCTCATACTTGCTCATGAACTGTGCCGTCTCCTCCCTATTCCAAGTTCAGGGATGTCTTGTTGGTAGCTTGAAATTGGCAGTGGTGGCAGTATTTACACCATTGAAATCGGCAAACACAACAAATCAGGGCTTATTTTTAATCCCAGAGAGCCAGTTTGCCAGCACACCGCGGCCCCAGACCACTGCAAGATTGTTCTCTAACTACGTTTTCAATCCCTTGTTCAGAGTCATAGGGAAATACCAGCTCATGTTTATAAAATCAGAATAGCTGCTCTTCTATCATTTAAAAAAATAAAAATTTTGGTTTTTGTGTGTAAGGCCCCACTGCCATCAACATCTTTGCTCTCAGCTTCCTCCTTTCCTGTGTCTTTGGCACACCAGACCTGGTAGCCTCAAGAACTAAACTGATGCCTTAAAACAAGCCCCCGGAGCGGTAACCGACAAGTAGCTAAACCATCTACCCCAGCCCAAGGATTCTAACTACACTCAGCCTCATCACACTGCAAGTCCTGCCTTCCTGTACATGGCTGCCTCAAATCTAGGGGATTGATTGGTTCTATCCTGGTGGCAGGATGGTTAAGCAGTTGCTGCTGACGAAAGGTTGGCTGTTCAAACCTACCCAGCTGCTCTGCAGGAGAAAGACCTGGCAATTTGTTCCTGTAAAGATTACAGCCAGGAAAACCCTATGGGGCAGTTCTACTCTATCGTATGGGGTGGCTATGAGTCAAATCAACTCGATGGCACACAACACCACCCTAAAAAGAACAAAAACAATAACCGGAAGGAAACAAAATGGCCACCACTGTAAGACCCAGTTGAAGAAACTACCGATTTGGGGGAGATGATTCTCCAAGAGTCTCATTGTCCTACTCATCTTGTGAGCAGAGGCACCAACTGCTTTAGTTCCAGACTATCTTGTACAGTGAACAGACTTGGATGAGAGAGACAGTGTCTCTCTCTGGAGCAAAGGACAGGCACGCTTACTACCCATTATAAATGATTAGGGTTCCCTGAGCTTGGGGTTCCTCTTGCAACACATGTACAGGTGTCTCCTGGCCCTCTTCATGGGGCCCTATAGAAACTGGGGTTTAGGGAACCAACTCAAATGCTAATCCCGTCTATTGCCATTACTGTAATACACTCTCCTTTGTCTCTGACCCAGGAGTCTCAAGACTCCTGCTAGCATCCATGAAACTGTGGGATGTTAACTTACTAGCTTCCAAGTAGGGTAAAACCTCGGACCCTTCACAGTTCTTGATACCCATGTGTTCCTTTAAGAATCCAGAGCTCTAAAGATGACCAAATCCAGTTAGCAAAAAGTACCATCTGCTTATTCCACACACACAAAAAGAAGACCCGGTAAACATCATCAGGTTGGAGAACACTTCAATAGTCTACAAATTAATGCAGTTTTATTGTCACAATATTTTGGATAATTTCATAGTAACAATATTTTGAATAATTTTATAGTAAAAGAAGAAACAAAGAGGAAAATAATTACCCTGCACATTGAAATTTTCATACACTACATGGAAATTTCCCACATCTGCCCAGTCCTGGCTCAGAACAAGAGATAGCTAATATATTTTATTCATTTTTTCCTATTACTTTGAAAAGTTATTTCAAATAGTAACTAGCAAATTAGGGCTTATTTCTTGCACAAAGGACAGTACAAAATATTTGGTTTCCTGGCACACAGAGTTGTAACAAGTACTTGAAGCAACAATGGTTTGGGGTCACCAAGTCTCCACACACCCCTTTCAAGGGTACCAGCAGCTATCACGGCTCTCACGCTTCCGCACGCATGGGAAATTACACACAAAAACAACCCTGAAAGGACTGCAAAGCAAAGGATTGTGAATTCCAAATAATTCTCTCAAGTCCTGATGTTCTTGTTTTTCATTTTGGAAGTGTGACTCAAGTCTTCAGAAACAAGGCAATAATGAGTCTTGAAGGTGATCAGAATTCCTTGACTGTCCCATTGGCCATCCAGGACCCACCAGCACAACCTCTGTGGACTCTGCTGAAGAGTTTTCACTCGAGCACTCACATCACGGAGAAATGGAAAGCCTGCTGCTATTTGCCGGCAATGACCCGGTGATGACGAGATGCCATTTGGTGTTGAGACAGGAACAAACCACTCTTTACCCAGCAACAGATGGGGGAATAACATCGCATGAGAGGCAGAGAGAATCCTGATATAGCAGACCAACAGGGTAACTGGCTTTGCTCAGGCCACACAGACAGTTTTTGAATGGCCCAGGCTAGGGGGGGGAAAGACAAACCAGAAGATAGTGAAAAAAAGCTAAAGGGTAAAATGAAGCCAGGAAGGAAGCTGGCTTTGAGGTCTGGAATCAGGCCATAGCCCTCCTCCTTGGCCAGGGAACTCAGGGTCTATTTGCTCTAACTTTTAAAACAAAACTTATCTTTTAATAAACTTAATAAACACCAGGCCCTTGTTTTTCCTTTCTCCAATCCCATTACAGTTCCTTTTGGCTAATAATTTAGAGAACATTAACAATAACAGGTAGGTGAATGTCTCGTCATGGCTTTTGTGCAAGGGCCTGAGGAGAGACGTGTTCACCAGAGAGAGAAAACTGGTGAAGAATCCCACCAGATGCCCTCTCCAGGGAAACTGACATTGAGAGAAGTCGGCTTCTAGGACGTCTAGAAATTCTCTTATTCTCTTATTGTCCTTCAACACCCTAAAATGGCATGTTTGCAGAGATATCTGGATCACCTCAATCAAGGCCACTGTAAAGAAGTCATTCAAAAAGTTAATCACAGATTTTTTACACTAATTACCCAATTTGCAAATAAATCCCTATTACTTCTATCTGTGGCTCCAAGGCATTTTTCTTCACTCAGCTTAACTTGAAAGCAGAGCAAAGGTCTGTCAGCAAGTCCAGAAACATTCCTAGGTTGGCGGGGACAGGTTAAAACAGTCCAGGCTTACTTTAGCCGGGAGCCCTGCTAAATGCGAGAGAAGAGAGGGGCAAGACTCTGGGGTTCACATCCCCAGGCCCGGGCATTCGCAGTTTCACCAGCCTGAGCCTGTGGAAAAGAACAAATAAAAGCACACAGCCTGGGCCAAAGTGACATCTAGTCCAAGGGTTCCCACCGAATGCATTTAATCAAAATGGAGAAGACAATCCATGGCGTCAATTCTGTGCTTTCTACAGGCAACTGCTACCAGATGAGTCAAAGCCTGGCCTAGAAGTGGAACTGGGTCTGAGTTCGCAGGGCTCCACAGACGCCCTCGGCTGGCCTAGACCTCTCACTCTGGGGGTGGGGTGAGGTGGCGAGTGCAGCCTCAAGCCACCATGCCCCCGATGGCAAAGGTGAGATGGGCCCACCTTCCCTCGACCGGCCACTGGGCTCTCCCCACCCCGCCGGCTGAGAGGGCAAACGGCGGCCAGCCTTTCTTGCTGCTGCTTCTCACTGAAGCACCAAGCCACAATGACCTCCAGCCTCAGGAGTGTGACCTGCAGGGCACACTTTGCCTCTTCAGTGCAAAGGTGGCCTTGACATCTTGCCAGTATGCGGCCCTCCCTTAGTCCTTGCTACCCCGGGGCGGGGTGGGGGTGGGGCGGGGGGCGTGCAGAATGATGAAATGCAGAAGGCAACAGGGCTGGCTTTAAGTTGGATCTGTTCCCAGCTGACTTTCGTGAAGATTACTGTGCCCTGAGGAACCAGAGATTCCTAACACCAAAGATGGTATCAGAGTCCAGGGGGGAAGCCGATTCCTCCTGAATCTGTGATTAGGCGAAGATCTTATCTATGAGGTATTTTTTGTGTGTGTGTAAAGACTGAGAGCAGATGGAAACTTAAAAAAAAAAAAAAAGATAAAAGCAGTGTACCTTATACTGGTTTCTTCAAACGTAATTAATGCCTGTGCCAAAATTAGGGCAAGAGAGAAACCCGGGAAATGAATTTAATAACTTATCCCGAGGCACTCCCTCCCATGCTGGCTTAGAGATCTCACACACAAAAACTGTCATAGTTTATAAGGGGCTATCTCTCAGTATGTGGGCAGGACTTCCCCCAAAGTCCATTATTAAATAAGCTCAAACAGCTGCAAGAGACATCCCCACATGGGACCCTGAGACTTCCCTTCACAGGAGTGGCTCCGAAGTCACAGACTCTCGAGAGCGCCAGAGGAGAAAACCGCAAATAGGCAGGCGAAAAAGGCCTGGTGCCTGCACCAAGTTCTTCTTCCAGAGCAAGCTTTGCTAGAACAGCACAAACCTCCTACACCCCCAGTGGCCTTTGAGGGCATGAAGATCTACAGGGGCACAGGGAGGACACCATGCTCACTAACTTCAAAACTTGGCTCTGGATGGCCAAATAAATTCTTCCTAGGGGACAAATCCCATGCTAGAGCCTCCCTCTCGCCATAAGCCAACTCAAATTTGTAGCATTCTACTGGAGAACTGAAGTTCTGGGCTGGAAGAAAGTCTTAAACCATGCTCTGTGTGTGTGTGTGTGAGATGGTCCCTGGGTGGTACAAACCGAAAGGAGGTTTGAGGTTCAAGTCCACCCAGAGGTGCCTCAGAAGGCCTGATGCTCTAATTCCGAAAAATGAGCCATCACAACCCCTACAGAGCACAGCTCTACTCTGACACACATGGGATCACGATGAATTAGAACCAACTCAACGGCAATGGGTTTGTGTGTGTGTGTGTGTGTGTGTGTGTGTGTGTGAGTGTATGTGAGAGGCAGGTATCTGGGTGCACGTATCTTCCTCAGGGGGTGAGGAAAGAGGTGAATGGATCGACAGCTGAACACTCTCTTCAGGCGACACTGTGAAATCCGCTGAAGGTTAACCTCTCCCTCTGAAGCAGGAACTTCTCCCAGAGGGGACGGGAGGGTTAGCCTGGTTTCACCGACGGATCTTACTGTCGCATGCCATGTACTTGCTAGAGTGTCTGAGTAACCTGACGATGGCGTGGCAGCGGAGAAAGGCACTTGGAAGATGCCTGCACCAGACAGGTCATGTTTCACCTCCCTGGTTTAGCGAAAGGCGTGCACACACCTGTGTGGGAACTTGCCTGCCCACCCTTCCTTTCCCCCCATCCCAACCCCACTGGAAATTAACTGGCAGATTTCTCCATGTAGAGGCCTGGCTAGAAGTGGTGCTGGTGAAGGGCGGCTGGCGAGGGGCCTTTCTCCAGCCTCTTGACGTGGCAGGAGTGACAGAACAGGTGGTCCTCCAGCGGGTAGCAGCGGTGGCCGTCTTCATCATTGAGCTCCAGGCCGCAGTCCTGGGGGTGAGGCAAAGACGTCCAGTGAGAACAAAACAAAACAAATACAACAGACTGTAAGACACACAAAGGCCACCGTCCCCGAGCCGAGCAGAGGGCACTGTGTTTCTACGTGCTGTTGTTGTTGGGTGCCATGGAGTTGATTTTCGACTCATAGCAACCCCATGTGACAAAGCAGAACTGCCCCAAAGGGTTTCCTAGGCTGTAATCTTTATGGGAGCAGATCACTAGGCCTTTCTCCTGTGGAGCCGCTGGGTAGGTTCAAACTGCCAACCTTTCAGTTAGCAGCCAAGCATTTAACCATCGAGCCACCAGGGCTCCCGCCCAGCAGAGGTGTGGACTGCGCTGCCCAGCACAGAGCCACGAGCCACATGGGGACACTGAGCACTTGAAATGTAGCCGAACTGAGATGTGCAGTCGGCATAGAGCACACACCGGATTTCAGAGACAGAGGACAAAAATGGATGTAAAATATCTCGTAAATAAGTTTTTATATTGATTACACATTGAAATGGTATATTTTGGATATATTGAGTTAAATAAAATATCATCATAAAAATTAATCACATCCGTTTCTTTTTACTTTTTTAACGTGGCTACTAGAAAACTTAAATTGCACGTGTGGCTTGAATTTGTGGCACTCGGATTTCCATTGGACAGAGCTGGTCTGAAATGGGTGGGCAGCAATGTCGAGCAAATGCTGTCACCTTCTCCTCTAGGCACTGGAGTGCCACCGACAATGGTTTCCACGTTTATCTTCAGTGCTGGCAGTGGGATCAGGCTACGCGGCACCCATTCCTCCTGTTCTCCCCACTCACAGGGTCACAAAATCAATCTAATCTCCTTCCATGGGTGAATACACTTCATTCTGGCTCAAATGCCACAGGCACTTAACATGTTTGCACTCTTCACAAGGGCTGAGGCAGGACGACCCCTGGCTTTCCTGACAGAGGCTTCTTCAGCCTAGGCGTGACCCAAGGACAAAGAAGGGGCAGATGGGCCCCACCACCTTCATACCACTAGCTGACATGCCTGTCTCCAGGGGGGTTTCTTCATGATTTCCAGGGCTGAGAAAGGGGGTCCTGGCAGACAGAACAGCCTACAAGACTCTTACCCAAACTACACAGCCTGCCTGACAGTCTGAGCCCCAAAAGCCACGGCCCCACAAGAGCTGCCCAGCACCGCAGCTTCAGGGAAGGGCAGCGTGAAGGTCTCAGGACCTGACAGTTCCGAATGCGGACGCCTTTGCACCCCAAACATCTGCATCCTCTCCTGCCCCACCCCAGTCAGGCTTCACCTCACTTCCTAGGTCAGCTATGGAGGGCACACCCACCCCAGAGTCTTGTCAGTCATCTCACATCCCAGCCACGCAGGCAGGCTTCCCTCCTCGACCTGGAAGCTGGGCCTACCTCGCAGTGGTAGCACTCCACGTGGTAGTCTCTGTCCATGGACACAACGCGGATGGTCTCGTCTGAGCCCTGGGGCCGGAGACAAGCAACAACACCAAGAAGAGACAGTTAGGGGCCCATCCATGGGGCTCCACATAAACAGTGGCGGGGAGCGAGGAGGATTCTGAGGTGACAGGTAGGTGGCCTTAGAAGAAGCGTTATCAATCAGTAGCAGATACTAACACTTGCAGGAAAATACACGTCGGTGACGAGGGGAAGGGGGAGTGACTGTAATCCTACCTTTTGGGATGTCAGAGTCAACAATGAAACACAAAACCCACGCGGGCATTTATTTACTTTTTTTAAAAATGAATAGGGCACACTAGCCCAAAAACAAAGAGGAGAAGGCAGGAAGGGACAGGAAAACTGGACAAATGGAAACAGGGAACCCGGGGTGGAGAAGGGGAGAGTCTTGACACATTGCAGAGTTGGCAACAATGTCACTAGACAATGTGTGTGTTGTTTAATGAGAAACTAATTTGCTCTGTAAACTTTCACCTAGAGCACAACAAAAAAAATAAGTAAAATAAAAGACAAGTTTCTCCAGTTCCTCTTCTAACCTAGGAGTTAGTAACAGTAAGAGAGTTTGACCTGATTATAGAGACAAACTGGGAACGAAGGGGGCATGGGGGTGGGGGCTGCCAGACAATGAGAAAGGGGCTTCCCAACGAGGACACTATTTATCTCAGAGTTAAGATTTTATAAGGATTGTTTAACAGGTGTAGGGACAGGACACTGATCTTGTAAATGACCTCAGGGAGATTTTCTGGTCTAGGAGTCCCCAGGAGTATGCCTGAAGAAGCATCTCACCTCGGGTGGAAGGATGGGAAGCCCGCAGGCCGCACACTTGGGGGCCAATACCCTGGGGGAAAAAGCAAAGAAGTTGTAAAATGCACATTGTGGGTTTTCTGGGTGGTAAGGCCTAGAACGCGACTTGTACCAGGAGCCTTCCCGCCACCAGCCTCCCACCGTCGCTCTTCTCCTGCATTCCTCCAGCCCTCAGAGAGAGGCTAGGGCCACTCACTCTCTGGTCATGCTTCAGTGCTGCCTTAGAATCATGCCCCAGCTGTAACAAAAACATTCGGCCCTTCTAACTCTACTAAGGGGAGGGACAGAGCCTTCTGTTTGTTTATTCCCCTAATGGAGCCTAGCGCAGCCCAGGCAAACCGAGAATGGCAGACACCAACATGGCACCAAAGCCTTTTGAAGGGAGGTAAAGCTGGAGCCACAGCGCTCGGCGGGTCCCCTTGAGGCCTAGCTGGGAGTCTGATTATAGGTTGTGTTGTTGTTGCTCTGCTTTTTCTCTAAACACGATTCTTTAACCAGTTCCTGCCTGCACTGTCACTGACTGCCCTCCCGGGGTCCCTCAGAATGACTGAGCCCTCGCGGGCCTGCTGACTGCGGGCACGGGCCGTCTGCATGCGCACTTCCATCCACCTCCATCTCTCGCTCTTCTGAGGTCCATGTGGGTTACGAGTGCGGTTCCTCTCTGCTCCGCCCCTCCTTACTTGTGGTAATCTCGGACACAGTAGATCTTATTCTCTGAGTCCACGGTGAAGGGCACGCCGTCCAAACACTCATTGCAGATGACACAGCGGAAACAGCCGGGGTGGTAGGATTTCCCCAGGGCCTGCAGGATCTGGGGTATACAGGACCAAAGCTGAGAATCAGTAAGGCTTAGTAGAAAGGCAGGGACAGTGGAAGGGAGAGAAGCACCTAAGGCCGAGGGAGCACTGGAGCAGTCATACACTCTTCTCAGACTGCACCTGGACAGAGGTCAAGAGAGGACTGGGGCAGGAAAGGCTAATCTATTTTGATGTATAAACAGTAGGAGATCAAGCAGGAGTCCTTCTCCTGTATGTGACAAACTTCTCACGGGGTCTCTAGTGCCAGAAGAGAATTTAGAGGGATGGCACAAATGCTTAAGTGCTGGGCTACTAACTTAAAGGTTGGTGGTTTGAACCCACCCAGAAGCACCTCAGAAGAAAGGTCTGGTGAGCTGCTTCAAAAGGTTACAACGTTGAAACCCTATGGAGTGCAGTTCTATGCCGCTGCACACAGGGGGTCATCATGAGTCAGAGCTGACTCGATGGCAACTGGTTTGGTTTTTGGTTTTGCTACTGTTATGGATTGAATTTTGTTCCCCCAAAAGATAGGCTGGAATCCCAACCCCTCTACCTGTGAATGGAAACCCTGGTGGCATAGTGGTTAACAACTATGGCTGCTAACCAAAAGGTTGGCAGTTCGAATCCACCAGGCGCTCCCTGGAAACTCTATGGGGCAGTTCTATTCTGTCCTATAGGGTCGCTATGAGTGGAATTGAGTTGACAGCAATGGGTTTGGGTTTTTGGTTTGGTACCTGTGAACGCGATCCTGTTTGGAAATAGGGTTTTTCTTTTGTTATGTTAACGAGGTCTTCCCAAAGTAGGGTGGGTCCTAAACCTCATCCTTTCTGAGTGGTGTCTTATAAAGGGGAGTACAGACACAGAGACACACAGGGGGAAGACGCCATGTGAAGACAGACAGATGAATCTACAAGCCAAGGAACACCAAGAATTGCCCTGGTGGTGCAGTGGTTAAGTGCTCAACTGCTAACCCAAAGGTCGGCGGTTTGAACTCACCAGCTGCTCTGTGGGAGAAAGATGTGGCAGTCTGCTTTAGTAAAGATTTACCGGCTTGGAAACCCTATGGGGCAGTTCTAGTCTGTCCTATAGGGTCACTGTGAGTTGGAATTGACTCGACGACAACGGGTTTGGTTTTTGGACTAGAAGCTGAAAGACACAAAGAAGGACCTGCCCCTAGAACTGATGCCTTGATTTGGACTTCTAGCCTCCAAAACTGTGAGACAATAAATTCCTGTTCTTTAAAGCTACCTACCTGTAATATTTTTTGTTACAACAGCACTACGTAACTAAGACACCTACCAATTCCTCACCTAGAGCAGGAATCTCTCTTCTAGATCTTTCCTAAAAAGATGTGCTGGGGCCATCTAAGATACAACTATTGGTCTCTACTTATCCAGAGCAAAAGTGAAAGAAGGAAACCAAACACTTAAAGAAGAAACTAGTCTACAGGACTAATAAATAGTCTACACAAACCATAGCCTCATCTACCCTGAGACCAGAAGAACAAGATGGTGGCCGGCTACTACTACTGACCATTCTAATCAGGGCCACAATAGATGGACCCTGATAGAACGGGAAAAAAAATGTGGAACAGAACTCAAATTCTTAAAAAGTTCAGGCTTACTGGACCAGTTGAGACTGGAGGAATCCCTGAGAGTACTGCCCTGAGATACTCTTTAAACCTTAAACTGAAACTATCCCCTGAGGTCACCTTTTAGCTAAATAACAGATTGGCTCATAAAATAAACAATATCACCCATAAGTACTATGCTCCTTTAAAAACTCACCTGTATGAGACCAAATGGTCAACAATTACTCTAAAGCAAAGATGAGAAGGTAAGGGGACAGGGAAACAAGATTACTGGAAATGGAACAACTAGAACAGAAACATTGAGAATGTTGACTCGCTGAGAAAAATGTAAACTCTCCCTAAAAACACAATAAAATATTATTTAAAAAAACAAAAAAAAAAAGAGGAGGATGGATTAAAAAAAAAGATGTGCTGGGGCAGGGCTGGGGTCACTCCCAGGGACAAAACCCACCATGGAGACGCAGAAAATGACACAAAGCAGGGCCATAAAAGGATCCATCCCAGATTTGGGTAGCAGTAACTATATGGACAGATTAAAGGATATTCCATATGGAAATGGCAGTGTTCAAAAAAAAACCGCTTAACATCTGTCTCTTGGGTGCTCTCTTCTGTCCAGCATTATAGTCTAGAAGCCATGACTCAACCCCTGATTATTTCAAATTCAAGTCTAAGTAAGCAAAGCCCCACTGTCACTGTTGTGGTTGTTTTTAGACAAATGAAGAGAAAGCCCCACAAGCCTTCTTCCTCTGAGTATCACTTGATCTGGATGGATTGAACTGTTACAGCCATCTTGTTACTAGGACAGAGCCGAGACAGAGGGTGGCAGAGAGAATAGCTGGAAAGAACACCCTTGGCGATGTCAACGAGTAAAGGGATTAACTCACTATGGAACCACCTGCTGTCAAACCTCTCGTTAGGTGAGATAAAATATGTTCCCTCTTCAGTCAGGGGTTCTCAAAAGTGTGGTCCCAGCACCTGCAGCATCAGCACTACTGAGAACCTGTCAGAAATGCACGTTCTCGAGCCCCGCCCCAGATTTCCTGAATCAGAGCTCTAGGACTGGGGACCAATAACCAGTGTTCTAACCTGCCCCCAGGTGACTCTGAAGCACACTAAGGTTTGAGAGACACTGGTTTAAGTTAAGGTTCCTGGGTGGCGCGAATAGTTTGTGCTTGGCTGGTAACAGAAAGGTTGGTGGTTCGAACTCACCCCCACACACAGGCTCTGTGGAAAAAAGGTCTGGTGATCTGCTTCCATAAAGATTACAGCCAAGTAGACCTATGCAAAAGTAGAGCCAAGGAGAACTATGGAGCAGTTCTACTCTGTAACACATGGGGTCACCATGAGTCAGAATCCACTCCATGACATAAGACAACAACAAGGGGTTTAAGTTAAAATGAGTCAGGTTTTTCTACAACGTGCAGTTGAAGGCATCTTCACTGACGCAAGAGACTTCGTTTTTGCAATTACGTGGGCCGGGAAACTCAGTACAAACAATGGAACTACAGAACCAATGTGAGAAAGGAAGCGCCCAAACACCTGTGTACAAGAATGCACAAAACGGTTGTCAGCATCCCACAGCGGGGGCCACACTGAAATCCTCAGATAGGCAGAAGGAAGGGGACTTGGAAGTGAGAAAAACCTTGTCAGTACATCATGAAACCTGCGGGAAAGATGTGCTGTGTTCCTGTGCCCTCCACAAGCCCAATGCTGCCTCCGGAAGTGAATACTGCCCGCACACGCTGCAGCCAAACAGGCAAAAGCACTTCATGCTGTTTATTCCTGCATTCCTCTGCAACAACAGTTTCCTGGCTCAGCTTTCAAGCTTCCTCATTCCCTTTTGGGGTTCACTAACCTTCGTGGACCCTCTCTATCTGCAGTGAGCTGCCAAAATAGGAAGAACAATCGGCTGGGCTTTGAAAGTCCATTTGGTATCTTGGAACTTGTAATGCACTCCCCCCTCCATCCCGACTAATGCTGTTCTTGGAAGAAAGACTCTTAACCTACACTGTTCCTGAAGTAGAAACTCTGGTGGTGTAGTGGTTAAGATCTATAGCTGCTAACCAAAAGGTCGCCAGTTCAAATCTACCAGGTGCTCCTTGGATACTCTATGGGGCAGTTCTACCCTGTCCTATAGGGTCACTATGAGTTGGAATTGATTTAATGGCAATGGGTTTGGTTTGGTTTTTTTTTTTTTTGGTGCCTAAAGTATGGTACTATAAAGATGCCATTCCACTGCATTCTTACTAAATGTAATAATTTTTTTTTTTTAATGTGGAAAATGCCCAGTTCCAATCTGCAGACCCGGAGTATAACAAAAGGGGGCACAGACAGACAGTTTACCAAAGAGTTGGACAGTTGGAGTTCTGTTGCAGAACCAAGAGTGGTATCTGAAGGTATTTTTCTCTGCATTATTAAAATTCTTGGCAGCAGTTAAAAGTTCTGTCTTTAAAACTGGGTGTCACTACCAGACAGACATAGTCTAAAAGTTTTCAGGTCCTAGAGAAGACCTGGGAGACTCCAGACTCAGTTTCACATTATTCCTTCCCTCCCTGTATGCACACATTGATACTCACATCAAGAGGTAGAGATTATTTCCCTTCCCCTTGAATCTGGGCTGGCCTTGTTATTTTGTTTGACCAAGAGAATGAGGAGGAAGTGATGTTCTGAGACTTCTGAGTAAAGGACTTAAGACTGGCAGCTTCTACTTCCTCCTCCTTGCTGGAAGGATGTCCAATCCAGCTACTGCATAATTAGAGGCTACAGGAAGAGAGACCTGGAGGGTGAGAGGCCATCTTGGACGTTCCAGTCCAACCGTGCCACCAGCTGAACACAGTAGAGTAAATGGCTCCAGCCAATGTCAAGTGGAGCAGAAGAACCACACTGCTAAGCCTTGACCTAATTCCTGACCCACAGTATCACCTGACCACAGTCCTGGGACAATGGCGTGTGAGTATATGTCTGAGTGTGTCTTTATGGAGCAGACAGATGCCTCAGGAGAATGTGAGTTCTTTCTCATAATGAATAATAAATCACTGTTGTTTTCAACCACTAAGTTTTGGGGTGGTTTATCATGCAACAACGATAAATGAAATACCCAGAAGCCCAAAGAAATCTGAGGACGCCAAGAACTAAGAAGAGGATGTAATCATGCTCATAAAGTTTGGACACTGTTAACTTCATATGCAGAAAGTTTGTCAGAAGGACTCTCAAATAAATGGGGCCTAGCACGTCTGACAGGTAGTTGAAGAAGGTGGGGGTAAGGGTGAGTAGCTCCTGCCTGCCTCCCACTGAGGGAGTGGGTGAAGGTCCATGCTCCCCAGGGAGGCCTTGGCTACTAATGAGTACAGGGCTTTTCCAGAGCTAAGCTGTGTCTCTGTTGTGGTCTGTCGAGCGTGAATGACCGCAGGTACTCTTCACAAATAGGCAGGGCTCTGGTTCACTGTTGTTTTATAAATGTTAACATATAACCAACAGAAATGAGTGTTTATGCCCACCAAAGACAAGCACAGGAATGTTCACAGCGGCTTTATCCGTAAAAGCCCCACACTGGAAACCACCCAAATCCTCATCAGCAGGAGAATGGATAAATAAACCGCGTGGTATGCCCACACAGAAGAATCCTTCTTAGCAGTGAAAATGAATGAACTATTGATACAGCCAACAAGATGGATGAATCTCAGAAACATTTTGCTGAGTGAGAGAAGCCAGGTCCAAGACAGTTCATACTGTACTGTTCCATTTATATGCACTTCCAAGACCAGCAAGCCGTATCTGCAGTGAGAAGAAGTCCTAAGAGCAGGTATGTTTGTGGAAGCAGGTCTTGACTGGGAGGAGGGCCAAAAGCAACTTTCTGGGGTGTGGGAATGTTCTCCATCTTGATCTGGGTGGTGGTTACGTGGGTATATGCATAAGTAAAATATTCATTCTCTGCACACTTTAGATTTGTACCCTTTACGCGCTGAGTTATTTCTCAATAAAAAGGTAAAAGAAAGGAATTAGCCAAGACTTGCAATAGCACCTTCTGGGGAGAAGGGAATAAATGGGTCAGCTTAGAGAAGGATTTAACTCTTTCCAACTAACAGAATGTCACATAATAATTTCCTCTGACCAGTGTATTAAAGAAATCCTTAAAGGCCAGTCTCCAATGATGAACAATTTGATCCCAAGACAGGATAAGAACGCTGTATTCATTAACCTCACAATCTCATCCTATAAGCAGGCCAAGAAGCAAAAATTATCGCCACTGAAGAGATAAAGACACTGAGGCTCAAGAAGACCTCAGAGAGCCAGTGGCTGAGCGAAAATGGACTATGTAAAACCTGCTTCTTGTTCTGCTGCCTGAGAACTAAATGACAGGCCCCAAAAATTCAGGAACAGGTTGAGCCAGGCAGAACGTGGGGGTGAGGGGGAGGACAACTGTGTTCATCTGAGTTTCTGTGCCTAATTCCAAGGGAGCTGAGATTTCTGCAGTAAAAACAAGCTCCATCTGGCGTCTCACCTGGGACGCCACATGGATCACAGAGAAATCAGAGGGAGGCCAGTGTGATCCGAGCAGCCCAGAGGAGGAAGAAGCATTATCAGAAACACGGCATCGCGCAGCATGGATGGTTAAGGATGCTAACACCAAGAAAAGCCACCAAGGGTGGGGGGGTCTCTTAGCAAACGAGCTGCAGGCATAGGGCTCTTCTAATAAAACCAGCTGTGATCTCAAACACTGTTCTCAACTATTAATTTTTTTTTAATCTAAATGCATCCCCCTCCCACCCTGTGATTATCTCGTCCAGCTGACCCTACTCACCATATCCATTATCAGGTGTCCACAAAGAAAACACCTGTCAGCAGACTGCTGGAAACCAGAGTACTGCAGAGAAAAGAAAAAAGAAAGTTAAACCCAGGCGAGGAGGATGGATCCAGCCACTTCCCCGCCAGTCACGAGGACAACAAGGAATTTCTCAGAAAGATGTGTCACTCTGTGTGGGAATGTGTCATTTCCCTGAGGACAACACATCTGTGGGATGAGTCACGGAATATACCCTCTGCTGCAAAAGCCATTACAAATACTAATACTGCTCACCATAGCAACGACTGTGTCTGGCACTCACGACATGACACGCTCTGGGTAAGACTTGAATCGCCTAACCCAGTGGTTCTCAAAGAGGGATTCCCTAGATCATCTGGGAATTTGTGAGAAATGCAAATTCTCCCACCCCACCCTACCCCACCCTGCCCCACCCTGCCCCAGACCTACTGATTTGAAAATGCAGAGGGTGGGGCCTGGCAATCTGGATTTTCACAAGCCCTTCAGGGGATTCTGAGGCACATGCAAGTTTGAGAACTACTCCTCTGATCCTTAAAACAATTCTGTAAGGTATATATTATTATCTCCATTTCCCAAATGGAAGCTCAGAGAGGTTAAGTGACCTTCTCAAGATCACACAGCTTATGGGGGTAAAGACAGGATTCAAATTCAAGTCTGGCTCTGGCTCCAAAGCCAATGCCTTTTATAGTTAGCTTCAAATAAATTTGCTAAATTCTGTCTACCTTACCTTACCGAAATACTCTCTCTCACACATACCCACACACACAACTGGAGTTTTAAAAGAAATGGAGGACTCTCTTCAGAAAACATACTAGATACTACACAGTGGAAGTTATTAGAAGCTTGTTGTTGCTGTTGTTTGCTATGAAGTCACTTTTGACTCATAGTGACCCCATGTGACAGAGTGGAACTGCTCTGTAGGGTTTTCTAGGCTGTAGTCTTTACAGGAGCAGATTGCCAGGTCTTTCTCCTGTGGAGCTTCTGGTTGGTTTGAACCATCAACCTTTCAGTTAGCAGCTGAGAGCTTAACCGTTGTGCCACCAGGGCTCCTTCCGAGAAGCTTAGATAATGCAAATACAGCATAAGTGGGGAAAACACAGTGGGAAGGCAGAAGGAAAAAAAGAAAACAGGAAAACTTTCTGCAGCTCTATACCACGCAGTGGAGGTTTCTGTTGCCTGGCATCTACTCCCCATCCTAGGGGTAACAATTCTTTATTTCATTTGGAATCCAGCCCCCATACCCATCACCTTGTGGTTCCCTCGATTCTTGTGGGGTTGACTCCATGCCCAGTTCCAAGGCAGGGCACGTGACTCAGACCTGGCCAATCAGAGCCTTGCATTTCTCCAGCACCAATGATTTTGTCCAGGGATGGGCATGTGACCCAGTAAGAGCCTACGAGACTCCAGGAGACTTTTGCTCAGGCTTCTGAAAGCAGGACAGGCACTCTTGCCCATCGGATTTGAAACTGGGAGAATAAAACCCTAGAGTGCTGCCACCATCTGGCCATCAAGATCGTGCCTGAGACTGAAGCTGACGTGGTAGGGGGCTGGGCCAAGGATAGAAGAGAAAATGACTACTGAAGGCACTGCTGAAATGAACTTCCTTTTTGCGTAAGCCAGTTTGGGTTTGCTTGTCTGTTACTGGCAAACAGGAATCATAATGAATCAATCTTTATCTCTGAAAACCAAATAGAACTTTCTCCAGGAGAAGGTGGAGAGAAGAGGGCTTCATACAGCCACCAAGAAGCTGGCCGGAAGCCCTTCTGTGGGTGTCCTGTTCCTCATTCAAGAAACAACAGAACCAGTTCAACTACCATTTACCGAGCACCCACTCTATGTTTGGCCTTGTGTTAGCATCTGAAGAGGGGAAGGTGAAGAAGCATGTTCTTTCCTCGCTAGGAGCTCACAGTCAAGTGGCAGAGAAAGGCTTGTAAATAATACATTTCAGGGTGCTAACTGCTGTGCCAGGGCAAGCCTGGGCGTGGTGGCAGCACAGAGCAGGGGCATTTCGCTGTGGGAGCAGGGGGGCAAGGAAAGCTGTTGGAGTTAACTGGGCAAAGACGGGGCAAAGACATCCCAAGGAGAGGATACCACAGGCAAAGGCACGAAGGTCTGAGGTGATGTGGGTGTGCAGGAAATAACAAGCTACACAGAGAGAGCAAGAGGCTGGAGAGGGTGTCAGGGTTCAGCTCTTGGAAGCTTCCTTCTGGGTATGCTCTTTACCCTGGAGACACCAGAGAGGAGCAGGTCATAGTACATGGTAGGGGCCTCCTCGCAGAGGCAGTAGGGAAGAGGCTGCTGTGCTGGCCCAGCTGAGCCCCAATGAGGGTGGGAACTAGGGCAGAAGCCTGGAGGGCACAGCGGCACAGGGCTCAATGCCTCACTGCATTCAGGGAGAGATGGGAAGGAGGAAGGTAGAGGATGGACCCCAGTCTCTAGTATGGTGGGGAACGGAGGTCAATCTCAGAGACAGGACATAAGGCACGATGATGCTGTGTGCTTCAGACAAGGCGAGGGTAAGGGGCTGGAGGACAGCATTCAAGCCACGTCCAGCAGACGGGGAGACCACAACAGCAGGACCCGCCAGAAGTAGGGACAGGACACCAAGGTTTAAGAGATGCATGGAGGAGGCGGAACTCAGGAAAGCGACAATGACCCTAAAGTCCCTTCAAAGTACAAAGCGCTGCAGTCTATTGTTTCCCTGGGGAACCTGGGCCGCCCCCATGCATCTATAGATGGAAAGTCACGGCCCTTCTCTGGCCTCGGCCAGCACAGAAAGGCGCCTTCTTCTGCCTGGTCCCAGGCTCTCCACACCCTCATTCCCTCTGGTCAGGGCTGGGGGAAGGGAGGCACGGGTGACATACTCACCAGGAAGTCCTCCTCACAAAACACTTTGCCGTTGACAAAATAAAAGGCTTTTCCCCTGAGCTTCCGGCCTGAGGAAAAAAAAACAAACCGACAACGTAGGATAAAAAGAAAATGTTAGTATGCAGTGAAAAGCGGGGTGGGGGTGGGGGTGGGGGTGGGGAAGGTAAAAACTTTTTAAGCAGAAACAAACGTACAAATAAATGTCAACTGCCAACAATAGTTTCCTGTTACTGAAAGATGCTGTGGCCCTTAGTGATGGCCAGAATGAGGCCAGAACGGACAGACTGAGGCCATCTGGCAGGAAGACTTGAGGGCTGACTTGGGAATCATCCATACCCACCTTCTAGCACCTCCTCTCTGCTTAGAAAGAAGCCAGTGGAACACTTGGTGATGAGGTCACAGAGCCCACACAACAGCAGGGGTGCTGGGAAAAACGCTCTAATAAAGCTACTACTTCCCACAAGCATTCGGTATTTTTTTTTTCCTTTTCTTTTTTATTGTGCTTTCGGTGAAGGTTTACAGAGTGAATTAGTTTCTCATTAAACAATACACATATTGTTTTGTGACACTGGTTGCCAAACCTGCAATGTGTCAACACTCTCCCCTTCTCAACCTTGGGTTCCCTATTTCCATTCGTCCAGCTTTCCTGTCCCCTCCTGCCTTCTTGTTTTTGCCCCTGGGCTGGTGAGCCCGTTTAATCCCACATACTTGGTGGAGTTACGTGTATTATTGTATTACGGGCCTGTCTAATCTTTGGCTGAAGGGTGAACTTCAGCAGCGACTTCAGTACTGAGTTAAAAAAGGGTGTCCGGGGGCCACACTCTCAGGGTTTCTCCAGTCCATGTCAGACCAGTAAGTCTGGTCCTTTTTTGTGAGTTAGAATTTTGTTCTACATTTTTCTCCAGCTCTGTCCGGGACCCTCTGTTGTGATCCCCGTCAGAGCAGTCAGTGATGGTAGTAAATCTAGTCATGCTGGACTCAGTCTTGCGGAGGCTGCCCCACAGGCATTTGGGACAATGACCTTTCAACATATTCTCAGGGGACGTTTATGACAACCTACTGGGAAAAATCCAATGAATTGGTTAACTTTTATTTTCCTCATTTTCACAGCTTCTTTTCTTCTAAACTACAGAAAACACACATTGTTGGAAGAGTGATTTTTCTTGTTTTCTCTTGATCTAAACTGGGTGGCAGGAAAGGAGAAAATGCAAAGTACCCCAAATCTTTAGATGTCACTTTAGATTCCATAAGGCTAGGACAGTGACAAGAGTATACTTTATCAGCTCCTTTAATCTCTTATGGGGCCACATGTTCAAGGTAAGCAGGAGTATCTTTATGGGAGTTCCTGGATCTTCTACTCAGCAGCATTCACAGATCTGGGAACATTTCCAGTGCTAGGCCCCAAATATACCCAACAGACAGCATGTGAGGGTCAAAAACCAGATGAATTCTAAACACCAGTGGTATCAAGTCCCTTGGGGCCCGGGTAGGCTGCAGCTGTGGATGAGGCCACTAGGGGGAGCAAGGAGGCCGCCTGGAAAGGGCCTGGCCTTTGCAGAGAGATGAGGCTTCTGACCCCATTGCGTGGAGAACACAGTGCTGTTTCCAGGAATGGGTCCAGAAAGTTCTAAGGAATCTGAGCTGGAAACCAATTGTTTTGTTTTAATAGAGGGCAGATTACCTCTACCCCCTAAATTACAGAAGATCATTAAACATGCAGAAGCATTTAAAACCCCCTAATATTCTAAGAAACCAAAACCTGTTGTCATCGAGTCGATTCCTACTCATGGTGACCCTATAGGACAGAGCAGAAGTGCCCCATAGGGTTTCCAAGGAGCAGCTGGTGGATTCGAACCGCCGACCTTTTGGTTAGCAGCCGAGTTCTTAACGACTGTGCCACCAGAACTTGGCTGCTAACCAAAAGGTTGGCAGTTCGAATCCACCAGCCACTCTTTGGAAACCCTAGGGGCACTTCTACTCTGTCCTATAGGGTTGGAATCGACTCGACAGGAACAGGTTTAATATTCTAAGAAGGATCCCTGGTAGCACAGTGGTTATGCACTCGGCTGCTAACCGAAAGGTCAGCGGTTTGAACCCACCACCTGTTCCATGGAGGGAGACGTGGCAGTCTGCTTCCGGAAAGGTTTACAGCCTTGGAAACCACTGTGAGTTGGAAATCCACTTGACAGCAGTGGGTTTTTTTTTTTTTTCCCCTTAGAATTCCAAGAAACACTGATTAAAACAAGAGCTTCTTCATCAATGACATCAACAAGGATTTCTTAAATAATCACAGGCGACGTTCATGACTGCTACCGTCATTGCATATTTCCGTAAGCTACCGATGGGAGTGTAAATGATAAACTCTCACTGGAGCGGAAACCTTAAAATGTTTGTTCTCTGACCCACAGGGAGTGTCTGGAACTTAGCTTAGGGATCAGGAATGTGGATATTTACTTAGATTGCAAATGGCAGCCTTAGAGGAATTGTTCCATGCAAGAGGGTACATCGAAATGATGGGATCTTATATTGCCATCTAAAATACCATTCTAATAGGCATCTTAATGATATTGGAAAATGCGTATACTGTAGGATTTCTAAAACCTACTAGTAAGTGAAAAACGCAAGCTGGAAACAGTATTTATAGTACAATTCCATTTCAGTTATTAACACATCTGTCACTGATATGCCAAAGGGAAAAAACGGGAAGATTGCATGCTAAAACTAGTATTGGTTAGCACGGGTAGACAGTACTAGAAGAAATTTCGCTTTCTATTTTATAAATTTATCTTTTTTTAACCTCTATTATTTTCTATTATGCAAAGGAGCCCTGGTGGCGCTGTGGTTAAAGTGTTCGGCTACTTTGAGAAGTTTCAGCAGTTGGAACCAACCAGCTGCTCTGGAGGAGAAAGATGTGGCAGTCTGCTTCCGTAAAGATTTTCAGCCTTTGAAACCCTATGGGGCAGTTCTTCTCTGTCCTACAGGGTCACTATGAGTCAGAATTTACTCAATGGCAGTGGGTGTGGTTTTTGGTTTGGGTTAGAGGGTGTCTTAGTTATCCAGTCCTGCTGTAACAGAAATACCACAAGCAGATGGCTTTAACAAAGAGAAATTTATTCTTCCACAGTCTAGGAGGCTAGAACTCTGAATTCAGGGCGCCAGCTCCAGGGGAAGACTTTCTCTCTCTGTCGATTCTGGGGGAAGGTCCTTGTCATCAATCTTCTCCTGCTCTAGGAGATTCTAAGCACCAGGACCCCAGGTCCAAAGGACTTAAACTGCTCCTGGCGCTGCTTTCTTGCTGGCAGGAGGTCCTCTTGTCTTTCTGCTCACTGCTCTCTTTTATATCTCAAAAGAGATTGACTCAAGATACAACCTAATCTTATAGATTGAGTCCTGACTCATTAACATAACTGCCTCTGATCCTGCCTCGTTAACATCATAGAGGTAGGATTGATAACACACAGGAAAATCACATCAGATGACAAAATGGTGGACAACCACACAATACTGGGAATGATGGCCTAGCCAAATTGATACACATTTTAGGGGGACACAATTCAATCCATAACAGAGGTAAGAAGCCCTGGTGGAGAAGTGGTTAAGAGCTCAGCTGCTAACCAAAAGGTCGGCAGTTCGAATGCACCAGCCGCTCCTTGGAAACCCTATGAGCAGTTCTACTCTGTCCTGTAGGGTCGCTATGAGTCAGAACCGACTCAATGGCAATGGGAGTATTATGTAGCACTTGTGGTTGTTGTCATGAGCTGCCATGAAACCAGCCCTCAACTCACAACAACCCCACGCACAACAAACGATACCTGCCCAGTCCTGTGCCGTTCCCATGATCATTTACAGGGTGCACTGTTGTGATTCATAGGGTTTTCAGGGGCTGATTTTCGAAAGTAGATCAATGATACCCTAGTCTGTCTTAGGTAGGCTGTGTTAAAGAGAAATTTGACTTTCTATTTTATACGTTTCGATTTTTTTTTTTAAACTTCTAGTGTTAGGTACACTGGTAGATGGACTTATAGTGAAATTTCACTTACTACATCATACCTGTCTATACTAAAATTTTCTAGACTTATGTACATTGTATATTGTAACCTGAAAAAACAATTAAAATTTTTAGAAAAAAACCCTTATGTTATAATGTGAAAAGTAAAAAGACAAAGGTATAAAAATAGCCTCAACTATGCAAAGAAGAAATTCATAAGAAAAAGCTTGGAAGGAAATTTGCCCAAACAGGGCCTCTGAGTAGACATAGTAACGGCACGATGGGAGCAGGGTGGTTTGTTTGCCAGTTGTTGGCTTCTTTATGCTTTCCTACACGTCCCCAAGCTTTTAACAATGAGCAGGTATTACTCAGATCAACATTAAAACACTGCCCAGCTGGTTGGACAAATCTTGCTGCCTGCGCTCAGAGCAGAGTTCTCCGTCAGCAGAGGGCTTTAGTGGCTGCACCTGCTTTTCCTTTATTTAAAAAAAACCTGAGAACTCCCCATAGACCCGAGGGGCTGGGGCTTTGGTCTGCTCTGATGAACTAGAACTTCAGTTTTTAAAAACCACCAGAGTTTCGATTCCACATCCAAATGCGTTAGTTTGTGTTTTGTCAGAGAAGAGCAAAACTAACATCTGTTGAGTGCTTTCTATGTTTCAGGTACTGTATCTGGAGCTTTCGTATATTAAAAGAACTATTTAAAAACCATTGCCACACGTGTTATTGCCTCATTACCACCACCCCCCCCCGCCCCACCCCATGCCTTCTGGAGAGAAGTGTGTGAAGTCATTCCCTGTCACCTACTCTAGCTTTCTGCAAGCATGGAAAAGGTTCACCTAAGAGTTAAGCAGAAATAAAAAACATCACATGCCAGTAACACAGAGCAGTCCAAGGACTGATTATTCTCAGAAATCACTGGAAATGGCATCCTGGATTGCTTCCAGATTTCTGGGTTTCCTTTTCGCTTCATTTCTTTTCTATTTCATAAACGAGGAAATTGAGGCTCAGAGAGGCTAAGCCAAGTAGTAAGTGGCCAGGATGGGAACCCTGGCTTGTCTCACTCTGAAGTCCATGCTT